AGACTAAGTTACAGGGAAAAAATGAGGAGGAAATCAAGAAATGGAAGGCAATTGGATGGGATAAATCAGTAAAACAATGAAAAAAAAACCAAAAAGCAAATCACAAAAATAATTTTCACATTGAAAGAGTACGTAAAACTAATTTCTCAAAAAAAAAAAAATTGACTTCTGTTTAAAAACATTGCTAAGATAACAGCTGAAAGCAGCACCAGGACTAGCAGAATTTAACGCCACGGCGAGTGGGCTTTGAGATTGCCCGAGCCACGGGCAAGGCCAAGCGCTGCGTGTGCCTCACCTTGGCCGGGCGGCGCCGTGGCGGCACCCGGCACCACGGGAACACTTACACACAGGCTCAAGGGCTTGGTCTCCAAACAGGACAACACGCAGAAACCGGGAAGGGCACGTAGATAGTTTTGAGAGACTTCTTCACCCCAAATAGTCACGATTATCATCGCTACGACTCTGCTTGAGCGAACACGCCGGTAAGTACGACGCGCTGTTCTTTGCTCAGCAGGGGCTGGAGAGCTCTCCCAACGGCGTGCGCCTCGCTCACGGATGCGACACTAACGCTACGCGCAACTTGGGTCACGAAACTGCCAACGAGCTACCGACAAGGCTAACTGCGCCTTGATCACGAGACCAGGCTTGCTTCACGTGCCCTTCTGTCACGAGCGCGCGACTGAAGGAGAGAGGCGGGATGCGGGGCAGAAAGCCACCGGGAGGGAGTCCCGGCCCCGTCTCTGGTCCCGCTGGGCGGTTTGGGCACCTGGACTTCTGCACGTGCAGCCCATCGCTCTACAGAGACGCCGCTGTTCAGGAGATGGACTCTTCAACACAAAATATTTCAACTGATGCGAGAAACCTAACTAGGTAAATGCTCTTCTCTGTGAGGGACAGGCTGGATTCTTTCAACAGACACCTGAACGTCACTTTTAAGGCACAGTCCTATCCGTTCCACCTCATACACTCCCGAGGAGATGCAGAAACACTACAAGACAAATGTTTCTTGTTTCAGAAAGAACGTTCAAGCTATTCTGAGATGCAAATATAGAAAAAGCACTCAGAAAAACCTTTGCTTATTGGAGATTTTCTCAGTTAATTAAGAATACCTGTAAAAAGGAAATCAGTTTTCAAGCTTAAAATGTATGGTATTTTTTCATGATCCTTTCCTGTCAAGGGGAAGACTCAAAAGTATTTTTTTAATTAATTGCAAAGGAGACCAAATACACAATACTTTCGTTATGGTCATATCTCACACGAAAATGCAAAGGCACAAACAGGTGCAAGAAAAGTAGCTGCAACTACCTCTAAGCCAAAACCATCATTTACAATACCAGAGGAACACATGAGCCTCTTCATGTGTGAGAAAGGGGACATTAATGTTATACTTTAGAAAAGATACTTGAAAAACATATGTAGCATTGCTGCTAATGTTCAGTTCACTTCAAAACAAGAAATGCATGCCAAGAAAATGAAGGGGTTTGGGCTTAAAGCAAAATGTACACATAAAAGAGAATACCTGACGATCTCCAAGGAAATGACTTCTCAGTAGAGCTGCAGAAAGAAAAAAAATTATCACAAAAATGAACCATGCACCTAGTTTGGCTTTATTTTTTTTTTTTTAACCAAAGCATACAAAATTGTACAAAAAACCCCAGCTGTGAAAGTTTCAATAGCCCATGTAAATAACACCCTGCAGCACTTTACACCTGACAAGTAAACTGGTGGTTACTGATGTTAATTCTGTATTATTCACGGGAATGCCCTGTGACTTACTGTATGGCAAATTATCAAGCAGCGTAACCTCTCTGCGAGAGCACAACCAGGAGCGCGATTTACGACACGCACTTCCTATTTAAGGTGTGATGACATAAATAAAATAGTCACAGTCACAGGCGGATGATTAGCAGTAAAAAAAACCAAAGAAGCATTCGTCACTCACAGTAGGGGCTAGCAAAGGGAGTTGGGGAATCACAATTCTACAGCATTTTGCTTCTACATGTAAAGCAACTTGAAAAAACTGAGCAGAAACAGACCTACAATTTTTACTGTTACTTCATTTTCCAGTTTTCCAGAGAGAATTCTGACACTTTGCATAGGATAAGAAGTCAAACCATCTGGCATACCCAAACAGGTACACCTCTAAGTGTAAACAGGTAACATGCTACACTGTCAAGGTTAAAGAAATGCCTTAGGAAACAACTATTTCACAAGATCAAGCAGGCGTTTAGTATCGGTGTAAACCCCTACTTCTATTTTTCCAGTAAGCATTTTGTATCAAACTACCTTAACCATTTTGTTTCTCCTACAAAGCAATGTTCTTTCATGGGTTGATAACAGCATTGATGCATGACTACCTCTGCAGACAAATGCAAAATTCATCCATGTGTTACTAAAATTAGGTATATTTTTCCATAAAAATATGTAGAGTATTTCTTCACTCAATTATCAAACTTGGAATATTAAATCATTTTTGCAATGATTATAAGCTATTTTCCAAACAAAAAGGTATTTAAAGGAAAAATAGGCAAGTCCATCAGATTTTATGATGTCTAAATATCAGCATGAAACTATGATTTTGGGTAAGATGTATCTATTTCTAAATTAGTATTATTTATTTTACTTCTTTCTACCACAGCTACAAATTACAAAAATACTTAGCACAGCAACATGAACAACACTACATACTTGTCTTCTGAAGTAAAACCAATCATTCGGGAGCCTTTTTTTGAAACCAAGTATTTGTGCTGAGAGAGTGCTAAACTTGCATACTAGCACAATCTAAACTACAACCACGATGAAATTCAAAGAAAAAGAAGAATTTGAATGCAGGATTCAAGTGCCTGAAAGCCAGCTCCATACCTAGGTAGTAACAGAATTTGTACTACATAATGGCTATTCTTTCCCTCAGTCTACAATTTCAGTGTCTTTTCGGGCGCTATACTAATTTTTTCTTTAGAATGGTCATAAAGTGGACCACTTAAATAGACTGAAACTTGGTGTACAGAATTACTGGTGAAGAGCTGAACTCCAGACTAAGACTCTCCTGTCTTATCTGCCTCGAGAAATTTCTCCCAGTTCTATTATATTTCTGAGATGCTTGTGGAGAGAAAGGTGCTCAAACAGAGATTCCATCAAAGTCAGATGCATGCCTGAACTTCCACAGATGTTTTCTTTTTCCTGAAGGATCATCTTGCAGAAGCCCAAGAGCACAAATATCGTAAGTTTAGACAAAGACGAAATCATTTAGCAGTACTGGAACACAAGTCCGGTGTCAGAAACACTAAATAAGTAGATAAACAAAAATCAAACGGCATGCCAAAACAGCATAAGCAACTAGTTCAACTGAACATCATCCTGTGGGTTTAACCGGGATAGTTTAAGAACTTCCCCTACAATGATCAGCAACTATCTTCCCAAAACTCAGCGACTGTGCCCATGCGAGTTTGTCATTCCAAGTGCAAAGTCAGGTGGATCAGTTTCAACTCCCTTCAGCAGTATGGTTTAAACTGGGATTTAGACAAACATTTAGATTTCACAGGAGAGAACCTGCTAAGGCGTTTCAGGAAAGAAGGTCACAGCCTCCAGCTAACAGGAGGTAATAAATGGCTACAGATGGTTACTTCTTAAGCTATCACAACTTTCTCCGCAGAAGAACAGACCAAGTGAACACGGTACATAAGCTGGACAGCCCTGTGAAAATCCAGAGGTATCTAGGGACAGGTGGAAGTCTGCAGCAGAGGAACTGTAGTACCATCCCCTGGCTATTTCAGAGCAGTGCACAGTGCCAAGACCACCAACCTCAATTTTTGCACAGCCTTGGGCTAAAGTTCATTCTATTTAAATAAAACGTTAAAAATATTTTTCCTTTCTAGCACACTACCGTTGGATCTAGCTAGAGCATTAACTCCAGAATGTTTCTGTGGCATGTTATGGGCACTGTAACTACACACCAAAGTAAATTCTGTGCAACTTCACTCGTTTTTTGCATGCAAACTAAACCTTGTAACTACTTTGATGAAACCTTTAAAAACATTACTGTCATTAAAAAGTCCTGAGGAAATCTGTATCAAAATTGATATTGAATTTAAAAGAATTTGTGTAAAATGGAATGAATTTTAACTATTGAAAGCTGAGTTCTGAATGTTGGCTAATCTACACGAATTCTCTACAGAGTATATTCTTCACTGAGCAAACCTGGACATAATGGGTTCTTTAATCAGTTACTGTTCGCCTATTCAGTAACACTTTGCTCCACTGAAAGGAAGAAACATGAAGACTATTTGACAGATACTGTGAACGCTGGCCCCAGAACTCTCATGCTACCTGAGCATCAAGCTTTATACTCTTTACCTTTTACTTTATTTCTCAGACTTTCTAGAAACTCACATGAGATGACATCATTCTGTGGTGCTAGCACAGGCAAAACATGCTCAGCATTTAGAAATTCTTTACTCTCACATACACAAGTCTATAAAAACCCCCAAACGTATCTCTACCTAACGCACCTGGCTAATTGAACTCGCCCTACACGTACGAGACTGATGAGTAATAAAGGTTGCTCTGACTACAAGTCATAAGTAGGAAGCTATGTCATGAACAATTAAACTGGTGAAGAATTTAACTTGATTCTTACTATTTTTGCAAAAGTCCAGCACCTACCGCCTACTAACTTCATCATCTAATTTTGTCACCTTACAGACGAGATGTTTTGAAGTTACCAAATCCTTCAGCTTTGATCAGTAAGCCTGACGCATTTTATCCACTGTTTAAAAAACAGTGTGGTCAAACGCTGCAGTACCAATGAGAAGCTGCTGCCATTAACCAGCCATTATGCCACCTCTTCCTGATTTATCTGAAGAGAGCCCGCAGGTGGTGCACTGCTTTTCTAAAAAGACTTTTAGCCCACTATTATTCTTGAAAAAGAATCAGGTTAGCAGCATAGACATGCAGAAAATATGTTTTTCTTTCAGAACAGTTTGGTACGATGCATATACTCTTCAATTAAATAAGTTAGAGATAAATATTATTACAGTATAGCAGCTATTTTCAAATGCTATAGAAAGAAAGTGTAGATAAAATATCAGATACTGTCATGTACATGGAAATAATTTTCTGTTCCCTTCTCAATCTGCTTTGCAAGAGCACAAAGAAGTGAAATAAAAAAAATAACTCTACACTAGGTGCACATAAAATACATACACCAAAACACTAACTTTTTAACCAGTAACACAAATATTTGATATTTGGTAACTGAAGATGGAGCACGCATACAAACTCTGCTGAAATCCATCTAGTCACTTTTTTTTTTTTTTAAATACTTTGCAATTTTTCCCCCCTTGCTTGTATTTCCTAAGGATTTTTTGTTTTGAGGGTTTTTTTTGTTTCATTTGATTTAGTTTTTGGTTCCTTTCTTAATTTCACACCCTTTCTTTGCCATCTTACAGTTTTAGTTCAAAGCTGATGTCTTAGACACAAAATTGAACCAGCTGCAAATCTGGAAAAATGTAACAATCTGATAAATGGAAAAGGTTTCCTGTGAAGTCACTTAGAGACAAAACACACCAAGTATCTCTGACAGCGTTCTACACTCTCCAAGCGATAGCTCTCAGATAAACACCTTCTAGATTTGCATTTCCAAGCTGGAAAAGGCCAACATGCGTCTCAGTCGAATGGCTACGACAGCGCACGGACCTGACCACGCTTCAGAGGCAGAACCGGCCGGCCGAGGTCACGGCGGGTCTCTATAGCATAGCCAGGCTACAGGAACAACACCAAAACTTAAGGAAATTGCAGATTTTTAATTTTTGTTAAGATGTCTTAAGCAGTATGCTATTTTTAAAAAATTATGCAAACACAGCTATGATCTTCAGTTTCTAGACTGGACAGTTAACTGAAGTTCGCGGTGCTACATACATCTTTTGCAGGATTGTACCAGATGAAACAGTTTAAGCCCATTAACTTCGCAAGTACTTCATGAGATGGAACGTATTTCTGATTTAAACAGTACTGCTTGAGAGAAACATGGTGATTTCCATTGCCTGTCTTTAACGGCTTGAGCATACTGCTCTTGCCATCAAAAAAAGGCAAAAGCTGAAAATATTAAGTAGTATTTATTAAACGTTTCTAAAATGGCGAAAAGCTGTAAAAAGCTAAATATATAATTCTGTTGAAAATGCATGTACTTCACACATATTTCTTTAATATTTTAGCTTACTGCTTGGCTAAGCTTTCATAATTGGAATACATCTGTTCTGTCAGACCCCAGGAGCAAATGGTTCACTCACAGGGATCTGTGCTTCAGTGGAGCTGCCAGCCAAAACTTCAGTGCCTGTTAAGAGTGAATGTATTGTTTTACTTGTCCTTCATCCTCCATTTAAAATATCTACATCAAGAACTCGTTTACAACTATGGGCAGTAGGAAGGCTTAAAGCCTTGCATAACTGAATTCTCAGTATAGGGAGAAACTCTATAAACTTGTAATACACATTACAAGCAACAGGCCACCATCAAAATCAGTATAACGAGATTTCACACTTTCACTTTTCTTGATA